AACAACTGCTTCAACTGTTTTACACGCTGAGGGTGTGGCTATGGTGACTATAGCTGTTGGCCAAACATATGTGCTGCCTCTTGAACTGTGAACACGTTGTGTTCTGCCTGTGTATTGATGGTGTTGTACGAATGTGTTACGTACTGCCACTGTGGAGCATAGTGTATCCCTAATTGATGTGGCGTATCTGTTATTGACTTTTGATGTAAATATGTCTGTTCTTCTACTGGCTTCTGTAAACGATGACATAAAAGCTTTTCTATTTATCTGTCTATATTTTGGTCTGTTGCGTTGTGCATCTTGTTGGCGTCTATCATAATATCGTATTCTGCAATTTATTTGTTTGTGGCCTGTTCTATTACAATAGTAGCATATGACACTGTGATGGTCTTCTGGTTGACTGTAGTACATGTGTATGTTGTGGTTTCTTGTATTATATTGAACTGAATGAGCTGTATCGCTTTCTTTTGAAAATCTCTCACTTGTTTCACTGGATGATTCATCTGAATAGTAATATGTTGGTTCAGCTGTCTGGTTGTTATTATTAGTATCTAAACTTTGCACCGTTTCTTGTTTGGCTTGGCAAAGTTCTCTCAATTTTTCTCTTTCTTTACGAATTCTTTCTGTTTCTTCTTTAAGTCCGGCAATATATGTTTCTGCTTCTCTTTGTTTCTCTGCTAACTCGGCATCTATCTTTGCATCATATTCTTCTTCAGTCAACAAGGAATCTGGATCTCCGAATACCTTGTAATCTACAATTCTATTGATCAAATCTTCCATAGCATCTGGATCATCTAGAGTTTTTACGTCAAATTCTTTAACAGTTAATAACCAGTCTCGATTTTCTGTTGTCGTGTATTGTCCAAGTCTAATTATCAATTCATCCAGAATATCTGGATCCTCAATAGTTCTTGTTTTGTGTTCCATTTTAACTGTATTCTGAACATTTGTGTATAGCAACAAGTCATCAATTCTACCTGGCTCTTCTAGGCCTGACTTAAGCTCAGTTTTAGTGCCCACTTCGTACAATGGAGGCATTTTTAAGGGTAGTGTGGTTGAAGAAACAGATAAGAAAGAGGCAGAAAAACCGCTGGTACCAAATATCCAGCACAAGTCTAAACCCAAACGTTTAAAAAAATTTTTGGAAGGTACTTATCTTTTTGGACATGTAGACTGTTTCCTTGTGTTGTTAATCCAAACTCGTTCCGGTTGAAGAAACCCGCTGTTGTGTTGAGTTGAAGAAGGCTGTACACCAGATGTACTCCGTCATGAGTAACCCGATATACACAGTCTTTCCTGTACTCGACCCGCGCTCCACCAGTTGTGAGGGTGGGGATTTTTACGAGAGGCCGGTAACGAATGAATCCAATAACACACAGTTCAAGTTCCAAATACAAAGTTCTTTATTCAAATGTACATAATCAAGTTTCTACCTAACTAATCTACACTGTACTACTTCTATCTGACTGTCCATACCACATGCTACCTACTACTACTAACTGTTCACTATACTACTAACTACGCACTCCCATGACCAATCCTAACACTAACTTTCTGTTCCCTAGCTCTACATTTTACGACCGTCTCTAACCGCTTCCTAACACCTTCTCTACTCCTCGCTAGCTAATCATCAACTGCTGGCCTATCTCTCTACTGCCCCACGCCTCAGTGGTCAGCTGACCATACCACGTGACCGGTCAGTCTCTGAATTTTCATTGGTCTACCTCTGACTAACACGCTAAAGCCTATTTCTGCTATCTACCTGGCTTCGACGCAACATTGCGTCATCACACGTAGCTAGGATTTTCGGTCCCCTATGCAAAATTAACAATGTTAATGTTAGTCGCCCGCCCTCCCCCACACTGAATGCCACTGCCTGTACACTAAGAAAGGACTTGGGGCCTTTTTTTAATTAAATTATTCCTACAGTAGAAAAAAAAAACTTGATTTCATTAATTTTTTAAAAATTATTTATATAAAATAAATATCAAAATTCCAATGTAAAAGTTTTAACTTTATTAAAAGAAGGAAAATGGCCCCTATTTGCCTTGGGCCCCTATGCCTTGCTTACTCTAGCTTTACGGTAGCTAAGCCTCTGACAGCCATTAGTATTTTTTTTTTTCATGCATTATATAAGCATACTTAAGAATAAGAATGCCCATATAATGTTTTTGATACACTGTAGCGACAATCTTAAGAATACGAATCAACATATTGTTTTCGATACATTGTAATGATATCATTCAGAATAATTGCGCCCATATTGATTTTTACAAATAGGAGGAGCAAGCTTTAAGTAGTGTTAAAGTTAAAGTTTTTAATTCTGAGTAGAGCTTTCTTTAAAGTAATTGGGAGCACATGTTTTATTTCAGTTAATAGTAGAGCTATCTATAGAGTTATTGAGCCCATAATGATGTAATGAAATGTGGGGATGCGGTGTGGGGTTTTAGGCTATGGAAGCCGTTAGTGGATTATCCCCCACCTGAACTAGACAGGCGTTACCTGGGTGTTAAATTTGTGAAAACGCGTCCAAGCCTAGGGAGGGTCTGACATAGCATAGTGGATTTTTAAACACAGTCCGATTTAGAAATGTTTTTTTTAAGCTGGCAGCTTTAGTGGTCATCCATTTATGACGTCCACACGGGGGGGGGGGGGGGGGGGGGGGGGGTCCGAAAAAAATTGACTTTTGTGGACGCGTGTGGACAGGGGGAGGGGGGGGGGTTGGTCCAATTTGGACGTCCACACATTACATCTAACATATTTTTGGTAGTGTGAAAGAAAAATATTTCCTAGCGAAGCTAAAGTTCAACTATCCTATCTCTCTGGCCCTTTAACCACCCAGCTTGGGTCTATGCCCTGGCTTAACCTGGAATACAATAAGATATCCAATTACAAGTTTCCCACATTTGCATCCCAGGTCAAATACCAGGCGACCACTTCTCTAGGTAGGCTGGGTCATCCCAGTTCAGTTGTGAGACGGGAGAGGGGTGGAGGGGGGGGGGGGGGGGGTTAGCACGCTGTCCCTGTTCAGGTGTGGGACACGAAGGACAATAAAACACATTTGTACCAGTATTTGTAATACTATATACACTCAGAGTATATACACACTAAATGCAGTAGCTTGAGTAATAGTGGAAGAAGATTATGCAAAAAATTATAGTCAGTGTGGACGTCCACGGGATGGGGGGGGGGGGGGGGGGGGGGGGGTCCGTCAAAAGTGGACGTTTGTGGACAGGGAAGAGGGGGGGGGGGGGTCCAAAATCCCAAAAATGTGTGGACGTCATAAATGGATGACCCCTTAGCCAACCAAGGTACACTTCTGTTATATTCAAGGTTAAGATAGTTTGAGAGTATCTAGCTAGCATCACCCATCTCTTTAAAGAGTTGACGTTTTGACCAAGTGGTTTAGAGAGAGAAAAATCTGAAACATCTCTAGTTCAATGCACACTCTCACCTGTATTAGTTACACTATAGGAATTCCTAAACAGGCCAAGAGAGAAACATCCCCACTAATAAAGGCGTATCTGACGCCCTAATTGCAGACACGGACAGCGTTTTTTGTCCCTGCGGTCCCGGGTGGTAATACAATACCGGATGAGACTCTTTTGTAGTGCATCACAGCCCCCCCCCCCCCTCCCCACCACGACCCGTCCCGCAATTGTCTCCCCCCCTCCCCCCTTCTCCCAAGTTCCAACCATTCATTCCATTTGGATTTAGCTGGCTGTAGTCAACGTTTTCATCTCAATTAAGATAAGTACATTTTTTTTTAAATAAATTATATATATATATATATATATATATATATATATATATATATATATATATATATAATATATATATATATATATATATATATATATATATATATATATATATATATATATATATATATATATATATATATATATATATATATATATATTATATATATATATATATATAAGTATTTATGGGGGCATCTTCCGCTCAGAGTTTCTTCCAGGCATCTCTTCGGGGGGGCGAAGCCCCCCCCGAAAAATTTTTACCGCCCCCCCCGAACGAAATGAATTTTATATAATTTATATAGAAAATATATACTTTTAACAGTGTCCGCCCCCCCGAAGAAAGTTTACCGCCCCCCCGAAGATTTCAAGTGCCCCCCCCGGAGAAAAAAGTCTGGAAGAAACACTGCTTCCGCTTGATTTTGCCCCGGGCATCTACATAGGTCTGCACGCCACTGTATTAATCACGAAAGAGGTATAAAACACAAGTAGTTACTACTGAAGAATAAAATAAATAAGGCAGGAACAGTGTATCACTTTACATCATTTTATGATAGTAAACTTAATCATCATCTTTTCTAATTCATGCCCAAAACAGTAGAGTTCTTCTGTTTCCATAATTTCAGCATACGGGGGGATGGGGTGGTAGTCAGCATTTTGCCCAGGTCGCCTTAATTTTCTTAACGTTAATCAGATGGCCACCATAGCTAGGTGGATACGATCTCGGGACCATCGAGTTATCAGTCGTATGCTCTACCATTTGACCACGCCATCCTCACTTAACTCGATATATGTATGGTTAATAGTCTCTTGCTAATATCGCTTTACATCAATATGTTTTCATATTAATTTCCAATTCAACTCTAACTTTACACTTACAACAAAGTAGGTTTATACAAGAGGATAGTAAATAACCAGTTATTTATAATAATTTAATTTATTACAGAAATACATGAGTGTAGTACAAAATGACACTATTTCCTGTATCATTGTAGTGCCAGGGCTAATGATTTAAGATAATTAATTGTTTTTACACGTCTTCAAAATGACCACAACAGTAAATTATAAGGTCTTTTTTTTTTCTTCTTGAGAACATTAAAAATCAATTCACAATAAATAACAATTAAAATCTTTAACTTTATCCGAAAAAAGGAATAATGTTGTTATTGATGTTTATTTTTCTCGACTTCGGTATCGATTCCAGGGGTGGGCACACTCGATACGTCAGACCGATCTCGCCTATTTCGGCGCAGATGTCGTACAGCTTCGCCCAGGTGATGGCGGGTGATGATGCTGAACGGGGGAGTAATACGGCGTCCGCCCCACCGGCATGGTGCTGGACAGCACGCCGATGATCTTCTTCCCTTCTCGTGGATCGTCCGATAGCACCGCGGCACCCGAGTTCCCGACTGCTGAGTCGCATCTTGTCACGATAAGGTTCCCATCCACCATCCCTTTATTCGCCCTAGCAGGACACACGGACATCCAGAGATTGTACTCGTGGTTCGGAAACCCTAGAAAACTGCAGGTTTTGGTTTAAAGCCCAGGGGGGTCGGTACTTCAATAGGAAAAAAACTGCGTTCGATCATACACCCCAATACTGAGTCGAACTATAGCATAATCCCACGATGACCGATGCTCGTGAGCGTTTTTTCGGATGCAGCCATCGTTTCGGAATGCTTATCTTTTCTATGTAGTAGTACCGTACCCCGAAGGAGTCGGGTAACTCGACTTTCAGCATTTCCAGCTTGTTTAAAAACTCAGTCCCCGTGTGCACACAGTGAGCAGCCGTCAACACGTGCATGGGGGGGTCACCAGGGTGCCAGTACAACCGGTCGACAGACGGACGATATTGGAGTACGGGAATTTCCTCATCATTGTTGGGAATATACGAAGTCGGTCGTCTTTTCCGAAGACGAAAAACTTTCTTATCGTAAGGCGCGTACTGCTCTTTTATTCGCTGAGTATGTTGTTTTTTTAATTCCGTAATTCACGTCTTCGGTAAGATAATGTTGAGGAATTTGTCGTTTTGGTAAAAAATTCAAAGAGTTTTGTCTATTTCTTGACGCCCACTGTAATATAGATTTCATAATATACAGCGGTGTATCGGAATCTCTGGTAGAAAAAAATGGCACTACTACTTCCTCCTTCTTTCCTAGTTCTATCCTGCTGGCACATTAGGATCAGTTTTCTCATCGCTATCACGTTTGTGAAAATTTAAAATCATTTCTTTCCGTAAACAGTTTATCTCTCTCTGTGAGTGTCCGCTTGATGTCAATGGATATGGTCCAATATCGGCCACACTCGCTGAGTATCCACTAGTCCACTGAGGTAAGACGATAGAGACGCACATGAAGACAACCACCCATGTAGCTGAGCGGCTCAGGTGGAGTCTAGCTAGTAGGTGGGTCATGTTCATCCCAGGCACACAGCGTACGTTCAAGGATTTTATCATCTGGGGAAGAAAAAAATTGGAACATTGGCAATCATTTCATTAACATGGGTGTCAGACACTACTCAAAATAGGCGGTAAAAAAAAAATTGAGGCACATTTATTTTATTTTGTTTTTTATTTGTTTATTTTTTTTTTTCGTGGGTGGGGGCTGTTTCATATAATCGGCCATATGTTAAAGTTAATTTTTTATGTTTATTTTTTCCCAAATATTAAAAATAAAGTTCAAATTCTATTTTTGGAGTAAGAAATGGGCGGGGGGGGGGGGGGGGGGGGGGGGGGAGGGGGGGCACTAAGTCCCCTTGCATTCATCTAATTTCATACCTCCGAGATATGGACATACGTAGAAATACTCGCACTCCAGTACCACCCTCACCCTCACTAGCTGTACTTAACAAGATTTTCTCTTACTGTCCACATTGTTTAATTAAGCTTCATTTTCTAGATAATCATTTTAATTTTAACTGTAACCCCGAATTATTTATACGATTGAAAAATAAACACATACATGAATCTGATACTGGGGGTCTATATTATAAGATTTTGATAAACGTAATCCTTGCGTCAAAAACTGTTTGATGAATGTATTTAACACAACACAAAAGCCTTCTAATTTGATATTAAACATACTTAGTGTGCGGTGTGGATAATCGGAGCTTTTCGCGCCTGATTAGAAAAATAAGGCAATCATTTTCATTGAAATGTATTTAGCGAGGATGAAAGCCATATTTGAGTAGGGGGACGGGATATTTTCTTACAGCTAGACAAAGCTGATTAGTAGGATATTGTGTTATGGCGTCATTTATTAAAGGAAGTGAAACTTTAAAAGGAGAGAAAAAATCTTTGAGTAATAATAGTAAATTTAATTAGGATACCAGGTCACTTCTTATTTTGTACTTGTGGAAACAAAGGCCGTTATTTGTATAAGTGTATCATATTGTACCGGAGTAATGATATGTTCAAGTGTGTTGAAGCTCTGAAAATACAAGTTCCCATCTATTTATACAATAATGGTAAGTTGTATTTTTGGTGCGTTGAGACACACTACCATCTAATAATACATCGAGAGCAAAATGTATTTACTGATGTTAAGACACACTGCTACTGTGTAATAATACATCGATAGCCAGTTGTATCTTAAGACTTAACCTAGACAACAGGGGAATCTTACAAAAAATAAGATTAAAAACCAAATTTTTGCCTGTAATCCGACATGTTTTGCAGCAAATGAAAGTATAAACAAATAATGTGATAAGTAAAATGTATTCTTGTCATATCAGATTTTAGGACAGTTTGCTCCGTATCAACGTTTTCCTTAAATAAATTCACCAACAGGGCTGTTAATGGGTTGAACGAGTTTGTCGTTACGTGTAACCTTCTTCTTCTTATCCTTCTTCGTTCCAACACAATTAAGTATACGTGTCAACTGGTTATGCACCATTGAGGCCAATGACTCTATTTCAGTTTGCTTTTCTTTAGGGATTTGCTTTTAGGAGTAATGTTGTCTCTCCTAGAAGTGTGGCTGTCCCCAGCTAACGGGCCTCATCTGCCCAAGCGTTCGACCCCAGAGTTTCTTCCAGGCATCTCTTCGGGGGGGGGGGGGGGGGCTTTGCCCCCCGAAAATTTTTTACCGCCCCCCCCCCCGAACGAAATAAAATTTATATAATTTATATAGAAAATATATACTTTTAACAGTGTCCGCCCCCCCCCCCCCCGAAGAAAGTCTACCGCCCCCCCCCCCCCGAAAATTTCAAGTGCGCCCCCGGAGAAAAAAGTCTGGAAGAAACACTGTTCGACCCCACGTGTAAAACCAAATATTTACATAACATTTTGCAACGTTAACGTAATAGTTATGTCAAATGCGGCAAAGGTACCATAATAGTTACCTTACATGGTGCAATGGTACCTTAATAGTTACAAAACGTGTTATAATGTTAACCTTTGATAGTTACAATGGTACCTTAATAGTTACATAACGTGTTACAATGTTAACAATTAAAAGTTACAATGGTTACCTTAATAGTTACACAACGTGTTACAATGTTAACCTTTAATAGTTACAATGGTACCTTAATAGTTACATAACGTGTTACAATGTTAACCTAATTGTTATAAATGTTTCATACGTTACAACGGTACTTTTATAGTTCCATAAAAAGTTGCAACAGTACCAATATCGTTTTATGTATTTAAACATACGACAACCATATCCTAGGTATAAAAAAACAACCTACGTCAATATGTAAAAAAAATGATCTGAAAAAGGTCATTAGTAGAAGTAGGTCAAGCTGCTTGCCAACCATTAATTAGGTCAATGATATTAATTTTGGTTAGAAAAGAATGAATGTTTTTCACTCCCCCGAAATCATTTATACTGAGTACTTTTTAAAAACATTTGATCCGATGTTTTTCTTTTTCTCATCTTTTCTGCATGATCAGACTGACATGATCGATAATGGTGTCGTCCACGGTTAGAATCTTGAGAGGCCCTTTAATTAATTTAAAACTCGCGTGCGGTGTTGTTAAATTAGATAATAATATTTATAAAAAACGTGATTGTGTGGTTTTTATACGGCTTTACTAAAGATATGTCGTTTTTCGTGTTTTTAGAATTTTCGGTAATTAAACAAAATTTGAAAAAAAAGCAAAAAAAATAAATAAAAGGTTTTTAAATATATTTATATTAACTAGGTTAAATTGTCAAAACAAGTTAACCTAGAAGTTTGTTTAAAATATTTACGGGGAAAGTTTTAAGTAAAAAGGGGGTTTACAGATATAGGCTACTGCTTGAAATGTACGATAAACCAATAAAAATTCTTACTAATGTTTTTACTTTCTTGTATATATACGAAAGTATTGTACTCGTGCAAAAAAAAAAAAACGAGATTTTTTTGAAATCTCGATTTTTATACCTCCCTTAGTCGGATGAGCATAATTTTGCAACCTTGTTAAGTGACAATGTCGTCTTAATTTTAAAAAAATATAAATAAAGCCTAAAAAAACTAACAAAAAAAGGATTTTTCATAACATTGGATATTAAAATAATAAATTTCTGAGTTTTTTCAGCCGTTGGCCCTGTAATAGTATGGTTATTACTAAGCAGAAAATGGAGATGGCTTAGTCGAATGGTAGAGCTTACGGCTGTGTGCCCTCGAGTTCGGATCCCGGGCTCGAGTCCGTAGAACCCCCCCCCCCCTCCTCCCCCCCCCCCCCCCTCTCAATCAGCTCTGAATATTCCATCTTTTGCCGAGAGCATTAAAACCGATGAACTCTACTTTGTCTACCCAATGTGTCTTGGGTATGAACGCGGAAAATATGATGATAAATAAGCAAAACATTCTAAACTGTGTAACGATACTTGAAGGAATATATTATTCATTGAAATGAAATTTATATAGAAAATATATACTTTTAACAGTGTCCGCCCCCCCCCCCCCACCGGAGAAAAAAGTCTGGAAGAAACACTGACTTCAAATAAAAGGTAAATTTTTTATAAAAAAAAGGAATTTTTACTACGATCGTCTTAAATATGTGTACAGTTTTGTTGAGAATTTATTACAATGAGCGTGAGAAGTTAATTGGAAATATTAACTATAAGTAAATAAAAGAGTAGCAAAACATGGTGAATAGATTTCTAGTTGGGAGGAGGATGGTATTTATTTTTTTGGAAAGGAAATTATTCCCCCTTAACTGCCTTAACTTAGCGAAATAGGCAAGCCGTGGTGTACTACGTCATGAAAAGACATGTGAAGCTATTGTAGAAAAAACAAGGTAATGAAAAAGTCTAGTGACAATTTTAGCGCAATTTCCTTATGTTATCTAAAAATATCTCTGTCGTAGCGTAAATCAAGAGCAGGGTTAGTAAAACCATTGGTTAGTTATTAAAACGTTTTTTATTAATTTTTTTTTTTCAGTATTTTACATGTTTTATTTACAATAGAGTTACAATAACATGACTAAAAACCATTGCGCGCCTAGCTACTGAACGTGATGATGCAGCCATTGTACGTTATGGCGCAGCTATTGAACGTGATGACGCGTGTGGTGTGGTTGGATAAACATGCCTACTAATTCGGTCCAAATTTTAATTAATTCAATTTTTTTTTGTGAACGAACGAAAGGATATTTTTGAAAACTTTCTTCGGCAATATTGTTCTAAATTATGGCAGGAATCGATTGGTACATGTTTCAAGTGGCTAAGTGGTCTGGTTGCCGAGATATGGGCCAAAAACTGCATCTTTTCGAGGTTTTTTGGCTTTTCCAGGAAATCTATTAAGGAATTCCATAATTTTTTGGCCCACTATCATCCTAGTAACTTGCGTAACATAATTGCTTTTGAAACTAGTCCTCGATATTGCTTCGTTGAGGAGGAGATATGACTTAAAGCTGCGAACACACATACATCCATCCATCCATCCATTTATCCATACATTCATACATCCAGAAATGACGGGTTAATAAACACAATTCTCCAGAATGGAAATTGCGCTAAAAACGAAAGTATAGAAATGGTTTAAGGACATATTTGATACTTTCTGCTTTGAAGAAAAGTAAAGGAGATAGTTTAAAGCCACCTAGGACACATCTTTGTGGTGGCGCTTTAAAACGTACGAGCTGACCCGCGCCGCAAGCATACACCGCTATTTATATGCTTTATTTTTCTACTTTTCAAAAATTCATAATTTGTGAATTCAACACAACCAATGCTGCGACTGAAAATATTTTCCTTTAAAACACTATCAGTAGCTCGAGAAGGACGATTACCCTCACCCTCTCTTATTTGACCTGTACCAAACTAGCGATCTAAATTATGGCAAGCGCAATAAGTATTAGGTTTCATTTTTTTAAGCATTAGACAACCTTTTAACCTTAGATAACTTTAGGTTTCGGGGGGTGGGGACGTATTTATAAATGACGTCAGTTTGGCGATTTTTATATTCCCCCTCCCCCTCACCACTGTCACGCGTATTCCCTACATTTTTAAAAGACGTCACACCTCAGACAACAAGCTTTCGTCTTTTTAAAAACAACTGCCCCGAAAGTCCCGAAAGCCAGCTTTATCATTCACATCCAGTGATATATATATATATATATATATATATATATATATATATATATATATATATATATACATATATATATATATATATATATATATATATATATATATATATATATATATATATATATATATATATATATATGTATTACATATACACTTATAAGTATGTGTATACGCATGTGTATATGTATTCAATTGTTCTTTTTCTTCTGGGTGTATTTAGTTTTTTGCCCTCCCTTCCCCCCCCCCCCCCCCTCCCATCAGATACATGGATTAACACATAAGTTACCACGATTCTCAACCAAACCGTTTTCCTCAGGCATATTTTGCAACGTTGAGTTGATGTAACTTCCCCCAC